CAACGCTGGCTCATGCTACGTGCTACTCTGGCGCGAGCAATGGCGGATTTTAATGGCATAAGAGCAGGGTGGATTAAATACATGAAGTATCAGAAAACATAGAGAGGCGAAAGAAGTTTTCTAGCGCGACAACATTGATGATAGTTTCCCAGGGTTGCTTAGAGTACCTATATTGAGAGAGTATGGCCACTGGGGTTACCACCTCTGATTGGCTCAGCCATTTTAGGCTGAATGGAGCCCTTAGGACCCAAAAATGGCGGACGCCATAAATTAATGTAATGCAAAATGACTCAAAATGTAGTTTTCTTTGCTTATCGTAACGAGAAATTTACGCAAATGCACTATTGCGACATCTTTACATATTTTTAAGGCTAATCGTGTGCAATTTTTGAGAAAAATTATCTTAGATGTAGTGAGGTTGGCAGCAAGTGTGGTTGGTGATTACCGTCAAAAGTTGGCACTGACCCCCCTCTCATCGACAAAAACCAAAACAAAGCACCGCCATTTTTGGGTCCTAAGCCTCTCCATGGGGCCCAGTGGCCCTACTCTCTTAATATAGGTACTCTAGGGTTGCTTGCCTTTGAGCACGCTTCTAATGGGCTAGTCGCACAGTTTACAACATTGTGTTTTGATGGTTGATCAAAATGTCATATCGATTGCAGAAGTCGAAGAAGGCACATCCACCGTCCAGTTTCGCTTTTTGTATTCGGTTAAAAGAAAAATGACCAAACAGCTCGTCTTGAAATTTTTTTACTTCTACTTCCTTCATCCATTTAGTAGTCAGGGATTTCAAAAAGATATTTCTGACAATTTGCTTTTGAAAAAATAAAAATCAAACAAGATAGGAAATTTTCAAACGATGCAATGGAGGTAATCATTTTAAGACTTCAACCATATATATTCACAAATAATAAAGTTGGCTCACTGGTTGTACATTTACATCCGAAATTGCTCAAAGACAAAATCGTTTCTCTGATATTTATCACTGAGAGAGTACACTACGGTTTCTGCCGCCTTCATAGCATAAACGATGCACTTATTGTGGCCAGCATGAAGCTTGTTAATTACTGATTGACAAAACAAGTCTGGAGGGACCTAAGGTGACCATGCGGTGGATGATATCATCCACGTTGCTTTTTTATGAGAACAATATCACCGTTGGTATTGAACGTGTAAGCTAGCTTGTTGACGATTATTGATATGTTTCGCTAATTTATTGAATTCAACCATCAAAACACGATTCTAGGACACGCTCAACTAACCCATTATTCATTGAGGAAATGAACCCGATTGAATTATCGAGAATCAAAAATAAGCATGGAATATCCGGAATATCAAAGAATATCCAGGAAATCTACCATCCTCCGGTAATTATATTGTGCCCCTTATGACGGAACTCAGTAATATTACCGGTCAAAATTGGTAGAATTGCCGGAAGACGGTGAAATCCCCTGAAATATCCGTAAATTGTAACTGCCGGATATGTTGGTAATTTTACCAGGTTATACTCCTCAATGTGCTGCGCTATCCAAACGACATGATAACCCTGGCTACCCTAAGTGTGTTTGTGGTCTCTTTGTCCCTTAGTCATGGATATCATACCCCTTATCAGAAAGTTCACTGAGAAACAGTTATAATCAAATAAATTATCGCCCACCAGTAATTTGAATGCGCGATCCGTGTAATGAACCTTATTCAGCTGCTACGATGCGTATCAAATAACAATACGCCATCTTTCCTCTACTTTGACGAGAGAAAAACTCATTCTTTGTTCGAAATTCGGGCTCATTTTTTTTTTTAAAATCAACATACATCCTTCCGGTTGCAGTCATCTACAAACTAAACCGGTGCAGTTATCAATCAATACACTTAAAATCAATGCCTTTATGATACCTTTCTGTCACGTGCATGAATTTCGATTGTTTCTTTTATTGAGTAACATTTCCAAATTCCTCTCATGAGTTGAAATGATATTTTTGCCTGTGACCGAGAAAATTTTCAATGTCGGCGTGAATGAAATGAACCAGATTACAGACGAAACTAGAGTCGCTGGTAGTTGGTTTATCATTTAAGTCATTTCAAAAACCGAGTCTTTTTGTAAGTTGTCGTTGGAATTGTCACCCTCTACCTAAAGGTTTACTTTACCTGTTATCAATCAACCAAGCTGTAGCTCAGAGTTGATGCAAGATACACACTGCTACAGCTGATTCACATGATCAGTAAGTTTGTTCGTCAAGGTAATTCAGGATTTGCTCCCGGTTTGTCGGAAAAAATCTCTCTGGAGTATATACACATTCAACGTGGGAAACAGAATCGCATTCCTGTCTCTGAGAAAATCAGATGCTTTGACCCTAAACGCCGTATTCCCAGGCTGATGTTGACTTAAAACGGCTTAAATTTCCGTTTAAAAAACTTGTCAAAAGAAACCCACTATTCTCATCCCTCTTTTCCTAGTTTCTCCTTTGTCAGTCAGTTTGAGCTTTTTGGTTTGTAGGTTCGGTCCGAGAAGTCAAGTCCACGTGTATCCACCGTCAATCAACGTTGTCAAAGATTACTGATTAGTTGCGGAGATTACAGAAGACCTTCGTAAATTACCTCGTGGAACAGAGACCAGTAACCTATGATACAAGCATAACACAGGCCAACTTAGGCTTCATCATTGGCGCCCCTCTTGCTGACGAAGTAATCCATGCTTGTATACGCATGCGCAAAGCCTTTCAGATACCCCCGCTGGACATCACGTTAGCTACCAATCTTAAAGAGCCGCCGTTGCGCCCAAGACACCGCACTGCGGTTAACATCTCGATTTAAAGATACAAAGGACCGACTCTTATTCTGAACTACGAAGGCTGATACTCCCTTAATATCTCCGACCTATGTACGTCAAAACTTGTGTCCTGCTATATATTACATGAATGTTTTTAATTATAATTATTAGAAAGAGCACCTTTGCGTGATAAAGAGTATGTTTTCTCTTTTTAAAATCAAAATTATAGCGATCAATCAATATTTCTTTTCATTTGACGCTCAGGCAGGGTTTATAGTGATCCCACCTTAGTCTGCTCATAACACATTTTGTTTGGAACTGAACTTTTGATCTCCGGATACAGTTTTATTCATTCGGAGCAGGTTAGTGCCGTTTTGCGCACGATTATCAAGGAGCTCTTTTTAGTTTACTAACGCTCACTCGAATCCAGAGGGTATGAAAGAAGAGATGAAAAAACAGTGCATTTGCAATTTTTCCCTAGAGATCGACTATCAACCACGCGTGATGTCACAAAACGTAGATTGGCCTAACGGAGAGTTTCGCAACACGAGATCTACCTAGATCAGTTGACTAGTATCACTGGTTTTCTTGCAATTATATTCTGAGTTCACGAAAAAGCTCACCAACCCTTGCCTAAAGGCCCGCTCTACTGCAGGCTGATTTTTCAAATTGGCAGACATAGCTATAGACAAAGAAGAGATAGGGAATACGCAGCAATCCCATTGGTTGAAACTGGTGGTCCTTACAGACTAAGGGGGGGGGGGCGTGATGGACAAACTGATGGGTCTTTTGTCGGTTGCCGTCATTTAGCCGCTTACTAACCTCCTTTATCCATCGCATTCACCCGTTTCCACCAATAAGATCCCTCCAAATCCCTTCTAAAATTTATAAACATAGCTATAGACAAAGAAGACAGATGGGATTTGGAGGGATCTTATTGGTGGAAACGGGTGTCTGCAATGGATAAAGGAGGTTAGTAAGCAGCTAAATGACGGCAACCGACAAGAGACCCATCAGTTTGTCCATCATGTCCCCCCTTAGTCTGTAAGGACCACCAGTTTCAACCAATGGGATCGCTGCATACTTCCTATGTCTTCTTTGTCTATGGCTTTGTCTATCAATTTCAATAATCAGCCCGCTGGACATCTTCCCTAGGGCCACTATAGGAATTAAAACTCAACATCTTTTTCGGTACTTTCCGCCGTCTTCGGATATTTGCTCCGGGCGGTCTGTATAACGTTTAATATCTACCGAGTGAGCTCATTTCTGACAGGTTAAGTATACTCGAGGGATGATTTGGTCATTTGGGCATTGGCTCCATTGACGTAGTCGTAGAGTCTTCGCACGCACTAGGCATTTTTGATGCGGTACCATTTGAAATTCTTTGAAATAAAATGGTGTCACTAGTTTTCTCAACATTAATTTTACGCTCAAAAAAAAAAAAAGCACAGCGAACTGAAAACGTGATATGGAATCAGCTTCCTCCCGTCTCAGTGTGGAGTCTGTCACTGGGAATCGGAAGTATTTCTGCCAAACGGAACTATGTGCATTAAGACATGAGCCCTGAGACCCATAAGAATATATACATAACAGGGCTCACGTCATAATGCATGTCATTTGGAGCTTGATTGGAGCTTCACATTTCGACATGTCCATACTCTCCCTATATAGGTTTTGTTCAATGGGTGTATATCTGTCAAACGGAACTATGTCCATTATGACGTGAGCCCTGGTTTGCATGTGTCCTTATGGGTCTCAGGGCTCATGTCTTAATGCACATAGTTCCGTTTGATAGAAATACGTCCAAATCAGCACGAGGTAGGCAGGCTGACAATTGGATTACATTTTACAATAAGGAGCCACTATCTCTGGCTCCTCCATAAAAGCACCTTTCTGCATACGGAAACCAATGACTTTTATACTATTTCCAAAATGAGCCAAGAATAGTGGTTCCTTATTGAAAAATGAGGTCCACTTGAATGTTGGAGTGCCGAAAGTAAAAACTGCCACCATTGCCAAGATGCAAGTGGAGGGTCTCTCTTTGTCCGTGGGGCAATATCTTAGGCACTGGGCTTGACTTCTCCGTGTGGAGGACCATCCTGGAGGTGGCGGAGCGGGTTGATAGGATCTCCGGGGGCGAATTGCTAGCACTGAGGGGATGGGGAGAGCCGGGAGTGATCATGCGTGAAGCATTACTGCGTTAGCTCTATCTACTTGGGAGATTGGCGTGTACCCCTTGGGTGGTGGTGACAGCGACCTCCGAGACAGCCGACTCTGAGACAGCGCTGTCGCTGGTGGGCGCGTCGGTGTCCTCTTCGTCCTCGGCCGGCGGGTAGGTGGGCAAAACGATGGAGACCTTGCGGCCGCCCGAGTCGCCAGAGTCGTCCGAGGAGCTCCCGCCCCCGTTATTGTTGCCGCCCCGCAGGACCAGCCGACCGATCACTCGGAACAACCATCTCGTGATCTGTTGTATCTTTCTGTCGACTAGCTAGAAAACAGGCGCATCTGCTAGAGACAACTCTCCAAACCTCTAACCTACCTAGTTTACCTTCCAGGTATAACAGCAGCCCGTGACAATGGTGATATCAAAAACATAGGAGAAAAAACGGGAAATAAGGCTGAAAATTACACATGAAAAACCCGAGACGTTTCGCGGCCCAAAACTGAGCCATTTTCAGTCGGAAGAATAAAAATCATAGGCGGTTCTACGGGGGTGCCAGTGGGTGCCGGGCACCCCCAAGCAAAAATTAAGTACGGTTATCGGAACCGTGAAATTACTACTTTTAAAGATTCTGTATTCGTTCACACTAAGAAAAAATCCCAGCAATTAATTGAAAATGTTTCGTTTTAAACAGAATTAATATTGATAGCCGTGTTTTACAAATATTCTACTGTTTTTTTGTGGTAAGATTGTAGTTTTGCTAGAAATGTTCTAAATTGAATTTATTGGTATTTAAGTAGAAAGGAAGGATAGAAAAAGAGAAAGGAGGGTAGGAAAGGGATGAATCTTGAGGGCCGAAACTTAGGCCTCCCCTAAGCGACCGTCCCCTTCGGAGCTGGTCTCCGACGTTTTCCACCTCTGGGCACCCCCAAGCACGAAGGTCTAGAACCGCCTATGATAAAAATAAAATATAAAAATTCCGAATAGAAGTATGTAGAGAAAGTAAATAGAAGAATGTGGTCTGCAGGTTTCTACATTATTTGGAATTTTTTATATTTTATTTTTATTCCTCCGACTGAAGATGGCTCAGTTTTGGGTTGAACCGTCTTGGGTTTTTTATGTGTAATTTTTAGCCCTATTTCCCGGTTTTTCTCCTATGTTTTACCTTCGAGCCGGTACTCAACTCTTTTAGGCCCATAATTTAAATGGACCACTAGACAAGGTACCAAGTTAAGCATCCATCCAAGAAAAAGTTTTGAATACGTTATTTGACATAATTTTATCGACAAATTCTTTTTATTACCCTCCGATTGTGATTGTAAAGTCGAATACTAGGCGAAGATTTTCGCGCAATCAGGTCAACGAATTTGATATTCCGCTGGTAGTGTTGAACGCAGCCCTGATCAGTCATTGAATGACAGCATATGCCCAAGCCCACCCCCTCCTATTACATTGAGTATGCCTATAATATACAATACGAAACGTAGGAATTAATAAGAACCCTTCAGGACTTTGCGTTTTTTAACTTATAAACCGATAGCTAAAACGCACCTTCCCTTTTCAAGAGGTCACGTGCTAAGTAAATGATGATTGCTTTGCGTGTAAACAGGTCGATTTAAAATCAAGTTTGAAGATTCGGAAAGCAGTTTTGGGGCCTGATAAGAAACGTTCTTTGAGAAACTGCTGAGGTACTAATTTTCATTTAATTTTATCCATTAACGTTGTCACAATTTTCATGAAAAATTCTCAAGTTTTATAAAGCTGCAGTTTCGAGGAATGATGAATTCGGGACCAGTGTCATTCAACCAAGAAGTTTTATCTCACTCGAAGAATCAATTCCTGAGATCTTTGAATACAATCCTGAGTTATCTTGTATATTTAAAATGGTATGATATAACTTTATGAATCTATTCATCAAAAGCGCTATAGGATGACACCTTTTCAGCGTATTTTGAAGGGAAAATCAGCTGAAAGTTTGATAATAGTGAAAAAACCATACCTGAGAAAAGCCGGGGAAGAGTGTCCTCAGGAAACCTATCGTTCGTTTTTCCCTGACTAATGCTTTACCTTCATCAGATGATTTAAGCGGCGTTAAAACATCCTGAAAAATAAAAATAAACAAGTAAAACCACGAGAACAAATTTAAACAATAAGTGCAAACAAGTATTTTGTATAAAACTTTTACATTTGACACTAGTAATCAAACATATCCACCAAATTGCCACCCCTGAGCTGGATTGAGGATACACAGACTCCAGAAGTCAAAATTAGTCAATATTCCTCCTCTCCTTCGTGGATTCAGAAGGCAGGATCGATGAATGGACAATGATTTTACTACAATTTGCAATCAGGAGCTGTAATAGAAAGCCCATCCATTGAAGGATCCATCTGCATGGTGAAACTAGCGGCATTAACGTTGTTTCAAAAATCAGGCAAAAATGGTGGTTTCTCATTGCAAAATTTGATCCATTTACTCCTGCTCGTCGTCGGCTGACTTTATGTGGACGTATGTATGTAATCGTAAAATCAGTGGGAACATCGTGTTTCGCGCAAACTTTTACATAAGAATCAATAGTCAAATCGCAAATTTCTCACACATGCAACATCTCCATTTATGGAACTAGAATTACTGGCTCAGTTAAGAAACAACGCATGCACCATTGGTTTCTCGATGTACATAAGAGTTTTTACCGATGACCTAGAAATTATAGTTCGTAATTGTAAAATGAAGTCCATTTATTGATCAAGGTGATTCGATAACGATTCAACTATCGACATGCAGTGCAACGATGTTCTCTGTCATATTAACAATGACGGACGTTTAGTCACTTTTCCTTACCCTGCGTTTGAGTCTCTGAAATGGTGATATTATTTCCATTGGAATTTCATGATCGAGCTGTAACAAGTGTTCCCGGAAATCGTTATTTTCATACTAATTACATAAAAAGGACACTAAATTCCTTAAGGGAACTTTATCCGAAATTAAAAGTGCCAATTTTCCAGAACATTGACAAAGAATTTGACGAAAAAGCATTCGAAAAGTGTACACAATCTCAAAAGTCGCGGAAAAGCTCAGAAACGCATTTTTTGCTAATTTTTACTGCAGAAATCAACACCATTTTTCTGGATATATTATGCACACTCGAGGAAGAAAACGTGGAATTCCTTTAGAGGAGTGTTACGCTGAAGACTCAAAGAAAACATCATACTTTTTGAGCAGATTCTCAATTTGAATACTGCTACATCATGGGGTTATTACATCATTCCGGATTTTGTCACGAAGAAAATGTACGTGCAGTTTTCGAACATCATTACTGCCTTGCAAGGCATCACGAGATAATTCAACGCAGGGAAAGCATTTTCATTCACTCTCGTTCAAAAGGAAGGAATCAAACAGATGGCGCCACGGGTGTATCGGATAGTGGATGTGATTAATGCATTTTTTATTGGTTTGTGAAAGTTTTGTGAGTGCCGAGTGGTATCTGGCGGTAATGCACCTAATTATCACGAGCTTCCGAGAAGCGGATTGCGCAAGTGCCTTGAATAAGAGCCAGAGTCTTTTTTATGATAATGGCGTCGACACCCCGATGAGACAGAGTCGGAGTAGACAATAATTCGGAACCGGAGGTCCACATTTTCAAACGGTCCGCCTCGAATACGTCAGGGTTGCCGGATGGTGACTACATTCATGGGTGGAACCTCCAGGCTGATCATTTAAATCCATAGACAAAATAATAGACTAAGGGAAAATGGAGCGATCTTATTGAAGCATGTAGTTGCAGACAAAGGGAGGTCAGTAGAACTGATAGACAAAGGGAAAATGGAGCGATCTTATTGAAGCATGTATGGTGACTACATTCATGGGCGGAACCTCCAGGCTGATTATTTAAAGTGATAGACAAAATGATAGACTAAGGGAAATTGGAGCGATCTTATTGAAGCATGTATGGTGACTACATTCATGGGCGGAACTTCCAGGCTCATTATTTAAAGTGATAGACAAAATGATAGACTAAGGGAAATTGGAGCGATCTTATTGAAGCATGTATGGTGACTACATTCATGGGCGGAACCTCCAGGCTGATTATTTTAAGTGATAGACAAAATGATAGACTAAGGGAAATTGGAGCGATCTTATTGAAGCATGTAATTGCAGACAAGGGAAATCAGTAATGGACAGACTAATGGTACCTAACGTACGAGAGATCCTTTAGCTAGTCAAGAATTTTATATGATAACCATCCGTTACAACCAATAGAATCACTTCATTTTCCCGTCATCTTCTTTGTATGTTGCTTCGTGTTTCAATCTCAAGAATCAGTTCGCACCGGGATCCGAAGTAGGGGGCTCGGCTTCCGCAAAAATCTAATTCACCCCCTCGATTAATCTAGTTCATCCCCTCTTGAAAGTGTGAGAGATCTTAGTAAATCAGCGCTTGATACATATGTTTCATCTTTAAAACTGTAAATCAATCAATGTTTGGCAAGAACACCTTAAAATTGCTCTTGGCAGAACTCAGTTTGTTGTCGTTTCCCCGGAGAGGCCCCACCGAGCTAGGAAAGTCGACTAAAAACACTTTTTAGCCTTCTGATCACATTTTCATCAAATTGTATGCTTGTTAAGCTCTATTCTTAAAAAATAAATGTCGAAGGCAAAATTGCCTAGTCAGTATTACATGTTGATTGTGTCCCTACTTGTCAACACAGGTTTGATGCCGTGTTTTCCCGGTCGGTGCACGGCAATGTTCTTTTTCGTGGAGCACTGGCCGTTGCAGCAGGCACTACTGGTACCAGATTGTGCAACACACGCGACGGGAGTTCAGGAAAATGAATTAATTGTATGACGAAGCGCTTCCGAAAGGTAAGGTGTTGCCGTTATCTCCACAATTCTTATTAATTTTCAGCAAGATTCATGGTTTAATATGCTAATTCAACGACATAAGTCAACTCTCAGTCGTACAGGAGCTTTCGCATTGAGTCATGGATTGATGTGGTTTTTTTTCTCCTCCTACACCAAATGTTTCCCTCGTTTTTCAAATCTTTCCATTGTAACTCACAAGGAGCAAGAGGAGCAAAAGCCGATGGGTGCGTGTGAAAAAAAGCATATTCGTCTCTGATTTCAACGTTGTGCGACAATTTTTCTGTTTTATTTTTGTACACCGTTTTTAAAAAGCTACACACAGTTTTTCCATGAATTTTCCTGAATGATATCAAATGTAAGCATCGAAAATTTCGTTCATTCTTTCTTCTTTTTATGTAAAAAACAAAAAAAAATAAATATTTTCCAAGTTTTTGAATTATTACAACGAGGACATATATTTTTCCTTAACTTATGGTAAAAACCGTGGCAGAGAGGCGAGAATGATGACACGTAATCCTAGTTTAATGGTGACTTTAGCGTCGCGTAAGCCAGGGAAGGGAACGCGGTGGAGTCATCTTTGCAGTACGACGCGCCTTCTATTCGGCTAGCGGCAATATGCCTACACCCATGGTCGAATAGTTATCTCGTTACGCCTGCCGTAAATGAAATAAAATATCGACGCCTACACGCGGAAAAAAAGTGTGCTTGTCTCCGATTGCAACGTTGCGAATTTCTACTCATTTTTTTTTTATTTTTAATCTGTTTTGTTTAAAAAAAGCTACACACAGTTTTAGTAGCAGTTTCCTAGAAATTCGTAGAATGATTTTAAATGAAACCACAAAAAAATTTCGACACGCTATTTTCATTCGTTCTTTTTTCTTTTTATTAAGCCAAAATTAATTTTACTACATCAAGTTTCAGAATCGCTGCATCGTTTAAACATCGTCCGAGTTGCTGAATCGTTGCATTTAAGGAACTTATTTACCCTTTAATTGTAGCAAAAACCGGGCAGGGACCGTCTTAAGAAATGACGCGTGGTCCTAGTTTTACGGCGATTTTAGCGTCGCGGAAACCAGGGAAGGGAGCTCAGTCGAGTGTCGAGTCATTTTCACAATGTGATGCGCCTTCAATCCAGTTAGCGGCAATGTGCCTTTACCCGTGGTCGAGTAGTTATCACAATTAACTCTCGCATTGCGTTTGGTGCAATGCGAGAAGTATTCATGCAGTCTTGTAGGCGCTAATATGCGTTTGAAGCCGACCGCACTAATTTGCGCAATGCGTGAAGTATTCCTGCAGTCTTGCAGGCGCTGATACGAGTTTGACACCGACCGCACCGTGTTCGGCGCGATTATTGGAACTCGCTTTAGGATAATCGCGGCATCGAAAAATGGGGCTTAATAGCTGCCCATGTTGTGTTTCGACGCTGGATGAGCAGTCCAACGTTCCCTCGTTTCTCCCGATTAAACATTTTTTTCGGAGCAAAGTTAGAAAAGCATTCTATGTTCGCTTTTTTAGATTGAATGGACCATTAAACAGGTAAAGAATTTAAGCACTCTGATACATGATTCTTCAACAGAATTTCACGCAGAACACGATTTGCGCAATGAAAACTACTTGAAATATATAGGTACAGAATATTCGGCAGAAGAAGAAAAATTATGATAATTTTAAATAAACTGCGTTGAGTGTGGCAGGGAGTCTGCTTCTGCAATGTCGAAAAAGAAGATTCATGACTTCGCATTTTGGTCATCAATTTGTTCAAACCTCGTTCAAAAGTTGATCTCCGAACTTCCCGTTGTGTGAATATACTTAATTTACGTTAAATTTTGAAGTACGCCTCCGCTGTAAATCCATCATCCACGGCGATTTCTATGACGACAAACGTCTCGAGTAGCCGAGCTATCAGCTGACCGAAAAAAAAGCGCCCGAAAATAACGATAAAACCACGCATCCACCGACGGGACGAACGGGATAACCGATTTTTCGAAGGACGCAAGGGGCGCGGGGCCCGCCGCGCGATCCCTCTATTTTTCCCGCCATCGCAGGCTCGGGACGGTCAAGGCGGTACCACCCACGCGCCCACGCCCGGATCGGTCCGACGGTCAACACTAAATTTTGACCCTCAGGATCCGGCTTTTACGGATTGTTTATCGTGATGATGATGATGATGATGATGATGATGATGATGATGATGATGATGATGATGATGATGATGATGCTGATGATGATGATGATGATGAT